GCAGCCTGGTTTCCACTCTCCCCAGGACAAACCTGTGTATTCTCCCAGCAGTTCATGATATATTCAATACTCTCTCCAGCACTACAGCTCAAAGGTGCCAATTTTCCTATCATCCCTAGTAATTATCCAGCTCTCTGAAGCATAGTATAGCAAATAATTATGAAGACCATGGCCTAGATCAGACATACCTTAGTCCCTAGACTGGAATTGTTGCTCTTCAGTACTCTGGAGAGGTCCCTGACAGCAGATTTTCCCAGTGCAACTCGTCTTGATTTCCTGACTGCTGGTACCAAGAGTGTTGATTGTGGAGCCAAGCAAACTAAAGCTGTTAACAATCTCAATCTCTTCACCATCTATCCTGATGCTGCCAATCATCTCAGAGGTGAGAATCTTTGTTTTCTTGATGTTGAGCTTCCATGCATATTGAAGGCTGTAGTCCTTGACCTTCTGCAGCAAGTGCTTCAGGCCTCAATTTCCATAAGCAAAGTTGTGTCATCTGTATGATGCAGTTTACTGATGAGTCTTCCTCCAATCCTGATGCCACATTCCTCCTCATAGAGCCCAGCCTCCTGGATGATCTGTTCTGCATATAGACTGTAAAGGTATGGAGATAGGATGCAGCATAGCAGCATAGCAAGTGATTGAAAAGACCTGGTCTGAATCAGGCATACTTTCGTTCTCAAACAAACATCATTGATCCTCAATAAGTAGGAAAGACCCCTGACTTCAGATTTTCCCAGCAGTACATCTCCTGATTTACTGACTGCTAGCTCCAAATGTATTGATTGTGGATCCGAGGAAGAAGTTGTTGATGCTTTCAGTCTTTTCTCCATAGATTATTATGTTGCCTATCAGACCAGTGGTAAGAATTGTTTTCTTGACATTGAGATGCAATTCATATTGATAGATTTCCTAGCTCAGAAAATCTGCTGGAGGGTCAGCTCCATCTTGATGGCATACAACAACAACAACAACAAAGAATGTTGGGCTGTCAAAAGAGTTAAATCCTGACGTTGAATTCCATCCCATTCTTCCAACCTAGTGGTGGGACCCACTTTGTGTGAAGCTCAGTGCTCCGAGAGCCTTTTCCCTGCCCCCACCCCTGCCACGGTCATGTGACTGGTTACATGACATTTGATCTGTATCTGCCGGAATTGGAGTCCTAACTCTGGCCCTTTAGACCCCTCTATCAGCTACGACCAGCTTTTCTAGCCAGGTCATCTCCCCAAGAATGCCCCATGTAGCCTGGCCCAGCCCCTCCTTGGCTCCCAGCCATGATTCAAGGACCAAGGACCATCAGCAATCTGAGGTGACCACCGGGCTTTTTCTCTTCTACTCTGTGAATTTTTCCTCACAGCATTCTTTGCATTCCTGAGGTGAAGCACACCCTCAGATGTGCTTGTTTTGGTTTTGACACCTGATGGGTTTGGTGTTTTGGCCTCTCAAGTTTCTAAGCAGTGAGACAGTTCACACTTCCCACCTTTGTCTACATCTATCCAGCTTAAACTGTCTCAGAAAATGAATGTAAGGGGAGCTCTGGTGGCCTAGTGGCAAGGATCTGCAACTACAATCCCAGAGGCGCACAGTTCAAATCCACCAGACGCTCTGCCGGGGAAGGAGGGACAATCTCCTCCTGTACCAGTCAGATCTGATTTGACGGTACACTCACACAAAAATAATTAAAAATTTAAAAAAATAAATAAAAATTAAAAAAAGAAAGAAAATGAATGCAGAATAATCTATTGCTTTCTAAAAGTTGGAATTTTGCCTTTCTAAAATTCTTGGTAAAATGAAGAATCCTGGATGGTGTGGCACATGGCCATGCCAGGACTGATGGTTTAAAGCACCAGGTACTCCGCAGGAGAAAGATGGGCAGTGGGCTTGGAGTAGGTGTGAGGGAGCCCAATTTACCGGAAAGCTGAGTGTGCCTGGCACCTTTGCGTATCAGGAGGAAGAGGTAGGTCCTTGTTGCTGTGTATCCTGTCGAGTAGGATTCAACTCATAGCTGACCCTCTAGCAGGTTTTCAGAAACATGGGAGGATCTTACCCAACTTTCTCCCAAGGAGCAGCCAGTGGATTTGAACCACCTTCCTCTGGCTTGGCAGTGCAACTCTTTACCATTAAGCCACCAGAGCTCCCTAACTCAGGTGTTCTGGCTGTTTGTTTGTTTTTTCAACGTAGGGTATAGTGTATTTCATGAAAAACATTTGCCTTAGTCTTAACAATCACACTCTTTTGACAACTAAAAACCTGTATTTTGAAAAATTAGCATTTAAGGAGCCATTAAGTAACTTCTATGTTCTTAAAAAAACACTTGGCTTGGGTTTTAGGAATTTGTACAATAAACATGAAATCAGTCACCTGACCATGCCCCACCCTCAGCACATTCCACAAACCTATCTTCCCTCCTCACACATTGTTGTTATAGTTAAGTGCCATTCAGTCGTAGGTGACTCATAGCGACCCTGTGAACGAAAGTCCTCAACACTTGCATGACTTTCATCCTTTCTCCAGGTTCATAGGGTTTCTGGAGGCAATCTGTTATGGAAGTGGATGCCGCTCCTGCTTCCAGGTTTGTTTTAATCGGGAAGCTCCACCAAACACTGTCCACCATGGTTAACCATTATCACATTTGACACATCAGTGTCACAGTGTTCAGCTTCACAGAGACCACAAGTTACCTCTGTATGGCAAGTGGACACACCAGGGCTATAAGACCTAGAAGAATGTTTGAACAAAAACAATGAAAGACAGGCCTGAGGGCCGCGGATTAGAGTCACCCACCTTTGGCCTGGTAGCACCACTGTCAGTCCACTAGACCACCTGGTCTGTATGTTGCTAAGTGCTGTCAGGTTGTAGGCGACTCATACAGTAGGACTTTTTAGAAACTTCCTTTTTTTAGTGCTGTGGCTTCTAAGAAGAGAGACACAAGCAGGAGACCACGAGGGTCTGGGTGGAGAGGCTGCATCCAGGTTTGGCGCTCGAAAGCCTCCACACCCAACACATTAAGCCAGATCCGCCCACACTCTCCCTTCAGTGAGTTGCTGTTTATCTTATACCAGGTTCTCAAACGCAGGCTCCACGGTTTAGAGGTGCCCCAACGGGTGTTTTTCCAGGAAGCGCTCCTCGAATGCAGTAGAAAGCGGAAAGAGGGAGGCATTGGGCGTTTCCTTCATCGCTTCTTTCTCCCCTCCTGTCTTTCCCTCCCCCAGGTTTTCTGTTCTTGAGTCAGCAACATTTTCTGAGAAGACATCCTCTGATACTCATTTTATCTAGCTATTGGTTTCAAATACATTGATATAAAGCAATTTATAGTTGCCTTTCTGTGTTTTTTTATAATTCTTTTAATTTTAATTGTGATTTTAATGAAAGTTTACAGAAAAGTTGGATTTTCATTCATTCATTGTTTCACATTTTCCTCCCAGTTCACTTGCTTTTTTT